GTCCCCTAATCTTACTATTCTCACCATTAACTATATAAAAAAAATGATGCATCAACATTATCCATCTCCTTAACAATCCTAAACACCTCAGTCAGATCCCTCTAACTCTTCTTTTTTTCATCAGAAAATAATTACAGAGTTCTTAATCTATCCTTGTATGACAACCCTCCCATCCCTGGTATTATCCTAGTATCCTTCCTCTGAATCCTTTCCAACAATTCAAGTCCTTTCTAAAGTAAGGAGCCCAAGACTGAACACAATACTCAAAATAAGGCCTAACCAGTAACAATACAATGAAATTATAACTTATTTAGACTTGTATCCAGTATTTCTGCACCTTCAATCAAAAATTCTATTCTGTTAAAGTTATTCCCATCAAAATTATACTCATAATTCAAATTGTGATATCGCACATGGATTTATTATAATTAAAAGCCATCTGCCATTTATTCACCCAACTTACTTGTTAGATATATACAACTGTTTCATTTAAGTTAATGTAAGTGTTATGATTTAGATAGTTTATATAGTGCAAGTGTTAAATTCAGTTTTTTTTAGAAGTGATAATCGTGTAGTTCAATAGTTATGAATTGGTTATTGTTATATTATTGTGTTGTGTTACTAGAACCCTCTGAATTTTCTTATTGTATTAATTGAGTATTATTGCATCATAATATCTCATAGTGTATCTCTGTCAGGGTATAGATAGGCAGTGGAAATTTAGTTCTATATAAATAGATCTAGATTGTGTGATTGTGAGTTTAGTCATAAAGAGCGTATAGTGGCAATATTTAAAGTTAAATTATCACAGATTGTATTGTAATAACAGAATAGAGGAGAATGATTCATCTTGCCAATTGTATTCTAAAGTAACTGAACCAGACGGTGTGGACTTTGATGAAAATGAGACAATTATTTAAAGCTCTGGACACAACTGTGGTAACCTACAGTCATAGTGGTGAGTTTAAAGTGAAATTATCCCAGACTGTATTGTGATAACAAAGCAGGAATAATAATTCGTCTTGTCTAATTGTGTTCTAAAGTAACTGAACCAGCCTGTGAGACAATTATTTAAAGCTCTGGATACAACTGTGATAACCACCAGTGCAACAAACATTTGTATATACATTTGACTTGTTTTAATATATTATTTTAAACCAAGTGGACTGTGTGCTGTTTGGCAAAATTTATCACCAACAAGTCACAGACACCTACTGTAAAGAATTAGGTCCATACAGAAAACCTGACATTACTAAATAACCCAATCCTTTTGTAAATCATCAAAAGCATCCTCACAGACAATAGCACCCAAAACCTTAATATCATCAGCAAACTTATATAATTCATTGACCATTCCTTCTTCTATGTTATTGATTTAAATCAAATACAGCAAATGTCCTAACACTGTGATATTCATTCAGCTTAATTGAACTCCATTTATAACAATCCTCTGCTTTCTTACATCTAGCCAGTTTTCTATCCAATGATTCAACCTACTGAGATAACCTTTTTAATAAGCCTTTTATGTGGCACCTTATAAATACTTTCTGAAAATCCAGATACCCCAAAACTATGCCCAAACCCTCTGCTACATAAGCAGTAACCTCTTCAGAGAAATATTATTAAGGCATGATTAAATGACTTTGCAAAGCATGCTTTATCATTCTTCCAAAAACGTTTTTCCTACCACTTGAGCAGCAATTACCTTACAGATGGTAAAAGTTAGTTGTAAATGTGGGACTTTATTGGATTGAGCACCCCTCTCTGCTCCAAAAATTTATTTTTTTTAAAGGTAATTGTACACGTGGGACATTTTTGTTTTAAGTACTCCCCCTCTGCTCCTAATATACATATGTTTTAAAGTTAACTGTATATGCAGGGCATTGTTGGTTTGATCAATCTCCTCTGCTTTTAATACTTAATTTTTTCATTATTTCCAAA